CACTTTTATTTTAGCAACCTGCAGTAGCTGCAGTCTTCCCAATCTGCCTCCTCTGTAGCAACACAACGAAACTGATAACAACTAGTAACGGGTCAAAAACGTGATAACGTTTCATCATGTGCTTCGGACCAGACTGAACAATTATTTTAAACATGGATTAATTGCCATAATATTTGCAACAGTTCTCCTGAGCCCAAGATAGGTATTCCTACCAACATTTTTGATACCTAGACATTTACTTTAAGGTCGGCATGAGGTTGACATCTATGGTTTCGTAACAACTAGTTGAATGTATTGCCATGAAATTGGGTGCACACATTCATGACCCCTAACAATACATTTTAATCACTTGCGTTGATATCAGACTTTTCCTAAAGCTCATTCATCAGGCCAACATTTTGATTGGTCCTATACTTTGATCTTTTCCCAAAGACCTCGAAAACTAATGACATTCCCATTGGCCTCGCTCAGCTGTACTGTATGTGTATTACTCATTTAAAAAAACGTTAGCATACTTGCATGCTAAACTACGATTGCAGACATGGCAAACATAAGCCAAGAGCTGACGTTTTGAGATATGAGCTTCCTTTTACTATAATTCTTAACCTCTGCTCACATGACATCAACTTCTGCCGCAAATGTAAAAAGGGAATTATCTTGATTTTAGTACTTAAAGATGTCTGTGTGTTTTTTTATTTCACTTGGTAATGACCCTTACTGTATATAAAGTGTCGACCCAGTGACAGATCAGTCTCCAAATATTCAGATGCTGTTTGTATTTGTTTGGCATAAATGATCTGTTCCTGTCCAAATAGTGTATGTCTATTAGTATAAAAAACTATTTTGAAATAATACAATCAATAAAAATGTTTGAAAAACAAATCTCACTTGCAAGTTTTAAATGTACATTACCCTTCTTAAGGTTAGTTTGTTAAAGAGGTTCTAATGTGAGGTCTTATTGTCTGAGGAACATGAAAAGTGTCTCCTTAAATAAATCCAACATAAAGCTGAGGCTATCCATCTAATGACCAGAAATAACAAACATGTTTAAAAAGCAGGTTTGTCTGTGGAGTCCTCCCTTCAGAGGTTTGTTCAGGCCTAGCAGTGTAGACACCAACCCATAATCCTCCTGCAGACACTCCTGTAGAGGAGAGTATAAAGTCCCTGGACTGAACTGAGTCAAACAGCAAGCTTCAGGAGTCTCTCCACAGCAGCTCCACAGCCTCCAGACCGACCCTGAAGATGACTCCCTCTGCCAGCCTGCTGCTGCTGCTCCTGCTCGGCCTCTCTCAGGCACTTCCTCTCCAGGAGGAAGGAATTGAAGAAGAAGAAGAAGAAGAAGAAGAAGAAGTAGACGAAGAGGACACTGTCGACATCACCACCAGGATTTTGACCTCCAACATCGCCACAGATGAGATCCTGCTGGAAGGCGACCTGGTGGTTCCCAAAACCAGAAACGCCATGAAGTGCTGGTCCCAGAGCTGCCTGTGGAAGAAAGGCTCCAACGGCTTGGTGACGATCCCCTTCACCACGAGCAGTCAATTCACCAGCTTGGAGAGACAGAAGATCACCAACGCTATGAATGCCTTCCACAGCAAGACCTGCCTCCGCTTCGCCCCCCGTCGGAACCAGTACGACTACATCAGCATTGAGAACAAGGGTGGATGTTACTCCTCTCTGGGCAGAACAGGAGGCAGACAGGTGCTCTCTCTCAACAGGCGGGGCTGCGTCTACCATGGCACCATCCAGCACGAGATCAACCACGCTCTGGGCTTCCAGCACGAACAGACCAGGAGCGACCGCGACTCACACGTCAGGATCAACTGGCAGAACATCAACCCGCAGATGGCCTACAACTTCAAAAGGCATGACACCAACAACCTGAACACCCCCTACGACTACACCTCCATCATGCACTATGGAAAAACAGCCTTCTCCATCCAGCGGGGGAGGGACTCCATCACCCCCATCCCAAACCCCAACGTCCAGATCGGCCAGAGGAAGGGCTTGTCCCGCTTGGACATCGTGAGGATCAACAAGCTCTACCGTTGCTAATAACAATGCTGATGATAAATGCAAACAAATCATACTTTTTCTGCTTTGTTTTTCCTGTAATTAATCAAAAAACACTGTGACGTATGGAAACAACATCAAATATTTAACTTTTCTTCAAATGTTCAAACGGCAGATTATATGACCGTCATATCCCTAAATGATCTGGAATAAAAGTAATGCAGAGATTACTGATTGCTGTCTAGTTATTTTCATCATTTGTGTCTTTAAAAAAAAATACACACATATGCACATGAATGCAATGCCGACATGGTGCATGTATTCATCTTATCATTTTCAGTTCACTGTAAAGTCACACAGGAATTGTGTATTTCTGTATTTTTGTATCAGTATTGGATCGTGAGGTGAAAGTTACAATTCTGCAATTAATGTCAAGCTTTATCTTGCACTGAAAAACTATTCTGATCAAAACTGACCAAAAATGAATTGAGGATGAACATCACTGTCCGCTCCCATGTTTTCTTTTGTGTTGCCATAAGTTAGTCTCTCTGTGTTTCTGCGCTGGGCTAATGCTAATCAGTGCTTGAATTGGAATAAAAAACGTGCCAGTACTCTAAATCAGCAACTGTTTCAAGTCAATTTATTTATACAGCCCAAAAACAAGTATTTGGCTCAAAGTCACATAGTATCCTATAATGCTGGTGGGTTTGTCTCTTTACTGTATATTTTAGAAAGGCTCACTGTACTTAAACAAAATGACTCAGGGTGCATCTGAGATTAGAGGGGGTGCAGTGGTCAAGTGCAACATTTATAAGTGGGGAGTGGACCTGACACCCTCTAGGGGGGTCCGGGGGCATGCTCCCCCGGGAAGATTTGTTTTAAATATTGAAGTTAAATGCATCAATCTGGTGCACTTTGAGAGCAAAATGAAGAGATCTATGGATACCTCTCAACATCCATATGAAACAGAACTGTAAACAGATTTACTTTTTCTTTATTGATATAAAAGAAAGTAAAGCCTGACTCCTACTGGCGGCTGGTTAAATGACTCCTCGTCCCTGAGTACACTCACCATCTTTCAGCAGGAAAGGAGAGAGGGAATCAATGAGACGGGAGAGAAGGCTCTGTGGGAGCTAGTGCTACAGAACTTGGAGCAGGAGGCTCGTCCAGAGAAGCCTCCCCATCAGACAACATTTCTAACACAGTGGCATGGTAACATGACGCTCGTAACTCAGCCCCCTCCTTTGCAGGGGGGCGTGGTCAGCTGCAGCGCATGCAAAGACAGGGATGGAGGAGAGCAAAATAGAGCGAAATGAGGCATGGCTAAAATGCATGATCTGGTATTTTGAAAAAGAAAACGTATAAATATACCTTATATAGGTATGGCCCTACAATATATTATTCAAATATAGCATGATAGGTCCACTTTAATATAAAGTGTTACCAATATATTATATATGGAATAACAAGGCTATTAGGAAACCATGGTTGAAACACAGAATAGTAAAACATTTCTTCATAGTTCAGGAACCATTACAAACATGAATTAAATTGGAGAAACAGCATCTCTGTGGCCTTGTGTTGGCATAGTGTGAACGCTGGTTAGAACATACAAAACTGTTGAAATAATAAAGCTTTATTTATACAGCACTTTTCATACAGCACGTGCAGCTCAAAGTGTTTTACAAAATGGCGACACATCACAAGTTAAAAATAAACAACAAGAAAGTCCCTTCAGATGTTAAGACCTTTACAGATACATGCAGCAAAATATAACATAAGCCGCTTTCACACCAAGTACTTTGCCGTACTTAGTGACCCGGCACTTAATACCCCAGGGCACTAAGTACCAATCGCGTTCACACCGGAGTACTTTTCCCTGAGGGAAGATTACGCAAATGAGCCGCTGACGTCAATTCGTCTTCTTCTGCTTTGGGTTTACTGGCAGGCCGCAAACAACTTCACGGTGTATACTGCCACCCGGAGTCCCCGGCCGGAAGTCCTCGGAGTTGGGGACTGGCTTCAGTAGAAGCTGCTGGGACTCCCAGCTGCTTCTACTGAAGCCTTCCGAGTAAATCGGCATTTACCGACCGCTGCAGTGCTGGCTGCTCTTCCACGGGAGTTTATTCTCCCGTTAGCTCCGGGTTAGCTCACACATCTCTAAAGTATTCACTGTCTGACTGAACACACTGTGAATGTGTGTCAGTCTGAATTGACGCTGTTTGGCATCACAACGCTGTTATGAAAGTTTCTCTGGTATAACATGGGTGATGTTAGCATAGCAACCGAAGCTAAACTGACTACTTGCTAAGCCGTTTTCTACAGGCACATTTTACCGGCGTATTTTTCATTATGATTCTACTTGTGATAGTCGGACATGACAACCTGTGCAGCCAATGTATTGATTCCACCCGATAGCTGCTATAATAACAAACAAAACGTCTGCCTGCTCTCCACAATGATCAATAACAGCGAACGGATGGTCAAAGTAAGGTACAAATAAACAGAATCACACGAAGCCTGGTTAGTGTTGCCTGACTTTATAAAGTGTGTTTTTTTTTATAAGTGTGTGGTTGCCTTCTAGTCACTTTGCTCAGCGCTACTGCTTGTAGGCAGGCATGACGAGACTCTTCAGTCGACCCATGTTCAGGGGAGGTGGGTTTAGTTTCCTGCACGCCTCGACGTAAGAGAGACGTAAGCGACGCCGCCTCTTAGCTCCGAAGCTCTTGCTTCTAGACCGACAATTTTTTGGAGCTGGAAGTGAACCGGATTCCGGAGCTAAGAGGTGGCGCCGCTGCGGTGTGAACAGGAAAAACCGGTACTTTTCAGGCTCTAGCTCCGAGCCGGCGCTGAAAACGCGTTGGTGTGAAAGGGGCATGAGTACTCTTTTTGGTGTGAACGCGACATAAGGGGTACTAACGGAACTAAACGGGAAAAGTATGGGGAAAAGTACTCCGGTGTGAACACGCCTGTTGTAACAGGTTAAGATACACAAGGAGGTAAAAGGTATGATAATAACAAATTAAATACAGTAAAAAAAACTATGATTTCTCTCAGAAAGATAAGACAAAAGAAAAGTGAATAGATGCAACAATATAAAACCCTATAAAATAAAGTGAACATATAGGTACAACAGAAATACAAATACAAATGAATAGTAATAAAAACATCATAATTCTAATAAAGTTTAAACGATTAAAATATAAAGAAACCAACGTAAAAATAAATGTTATTGAAACTGTTAAATGACTAATATAAGATAAAAACCCTTCCTATATCATAAATGAACAATATAAAAGTAGGTAAATAATAAAGACTAAAAGAACCATTTAAAGTTGGGGGTTGCTAATAAAAAGCTAATCTAAAGAGATGTTTCTTTAGAAGGCGTTTAAAAATGTCCACTGAGCCTCTCTGATATTTCCTGGTGTTCCACAGTTTGGGAGCGTAGTGGAGAAAAGCCTCACCCATTTTATTTTGCGGAATTTAGGGATATTTAAAAAGCTGAGGAGGACCCCAGGGACATCAAACAAGACTGGCTGTGAATTGAAGTCTGTTCGTCAGACTTCCATTCAGAAAGACTCTTAAAATATAACTACAGCTCTCAGGACATCAGAAGGAGGAAACAGCTAGCTTGGCTCTCATAGTTGTTCAAAACTATGCAGAATGGATTCGGTGAATACTTTGAGAAAACGTTTTCCCACACTCTTAAAACCACTATGGTTTCTCTCCAGTGTGAACATGTTTATGTCTTTGGAGATCACTTGATGTAGTGAATGTTTTCCCACACTCTTCACACCAGTACGGTTTTTCTCCAGTGTGAACACGTTGATGTTTTTGGAGATCACTTGATGTAGTGAATGTTTTCCCACACTCTTCACACCAGTACGGTTTTTCTCCAGTGTGAATACGGTGATGTTTTTGGAGATCACTTGATGTAGTGAACGTTTTCCCACACTCTTCACAGCTGTACGGTTTTTCTCCAGTGTGAATACGGTGATGTTTTTGGAGATCACTTGATGTAGTGAACGTTTTCCCACACTCTTCACACCAGTATGGTTTTTCTCCAGTGTGAATATGGTGATGTCTTTTGAGAGCATCTGATCTATTGAACGTTTTCCCACACTCTTCACACCAGTACGGTTTTTCTCCAGTGTGAATACGGTGATGTGAATTTAGAGTACCTGATTTAGTGAATGTTTTCCCACACTCTTCACACCAGTACGGTTTTTCTCCAGTGTGAATACGGTGATGTGAATTTAGAGTACCTGATTTAGTGAATGTTTTCCCACACTCTTCACACCTGTACGTTTTTTCTCCAGTGTGAATACGGTGATGTGAATTTAGATTACCTGATGTAGTGAACGTTTCCCCACACTCTTCACACCGGTACGGTTTTTCTCCAGTGTGAATACGTTGATGTGTTTTGAGATGATGTGATCTAGTGAACGTTGTCCCACACTCTTCACAGCTGTATGGTTTCTCTCCTGTATGAATACGCAGGTGGCGCTTTAAATTTCCAGATGATGTAAAGGATTTGTCACATTGCGGACAGCTGTGACATCTCTCTCTTCCTTTCGGTTTCTAAAACAGACGGACAGAGAATGAGAGAAAGTAAATCTAAAAAGCATAAATACATATACAGTTAACACAATAAAAACTTGCTTAATATAAACCTTGAGTTAAAGGTAGGGTAGGTAAGTTTGAGAAACCGGCTCGAGATCGCTAGAATTTGAAAATACACAACCGGAGAAAATCTGCCACTTCCTTACAGAGCCCCTCCTCCAACACACACGAACGCGCACATGACCAATGAGGGCACGAGATAAGTTTGTGCACAGATGGAAGGCTGACAGGCAGGTAGGCCATCCAGTTATTTTAGCCGGGCCGGCTAAAATGATTGGTCGTGCTTTTTACAGTACTACGGCTTCCACAGATGACATTTTTTTATGGATTTTTTGTCAAAGCACTTCAGATATTCATTGCTATCTGGATGTTAAGAGCATTCCTTGGAATATAACAAAAAGTGTATCTCGAGCCGGTTTCTCAAACTTACCTACCCCACCTTTAACAAAATACTTATTTTACTAATATAACTGTGTTTAATATATTTGTATTATATTTGATGCAGTAATACAGCAACGTTCTAACCAAAGTAAACACAGCAACGTTCTTTATTGGGAATGAGATGTCTGTAAATATTTTAACTAAATAAACTACGCAGTAATAAAACTAAATAGCCCTTATTTGAATCATTAGGTTTTAAAAGTTGTAAAATGCGCTAAAAGCTGAATCCAGATGTATTTTCTCTCTCCATTCATTCTACTGAGCTGAGTGAGGGAGATTAGAGGCGGGGCTTAATGGAAAACTCAACTGGCATGCTCTATGCTCTCGACAGCAAGACATAATGGGTAATTTGTGACGTTTTGCTCTTGAGAATGTCAGGCCATTTTGACTTCATGCGCCAATGAGCGGCTCTCATAACAATGAACGAGGCCTCCGACCACAGTGATGCAGGAACATCTCAAACGTAAACCACCCGATCAAGATCCCTCCGCCTCGCGTCCGTCCCTCTGATCATACTGTCGGGGTTTCTTTTTCCAATAATGACCGGCTCGCTGCACATTATCCGGTATATTACACGGCCAAATGCTAAACAAACTGACGACTAACTTGACTTATTTTAACTTATTTAAACTATGCCAATTTATTGATTCAGCTATTTCAAAGAGTTTGCAAGTTTGCAGAAAATAGGTCGGGTTGAGACACTGTGCTGTATTTATGTGTGTGAGAAAGTGTAACTGCTGTAATTATGTGTGTGTGAGAAAGTGTAACTGCTGTATTTATGTGTGTGAGAAAGTGTAACTGCTGTATTTATGTGTGTGTGAGAAAGTGTAACTGCTGTATTTATGTGTGTGTGAGAAAGTGTAACAGAATAACAAGGCTATTATCACGATACGATGCTGTATCGATTATTTCCCCCACCCCTGTAATGTAGACATACATACAGTATATGTCACATTTGGGTTAATAATGTTTCTGTAGAGTGTTGTTTATTATATTAGCAAAGGCACAAACAGTAGTTTTGACTTTGGAGTTAGCTAGGAGTTCTGAATTCAATGGTTACTGTGCATTAACACTGTATTAATTCATTTGGGGATAACAGTGTTAGGAATATATTGTGATGAAGTGCACACTGACCTGAGCTCCAGGGGTCTTTTTGTTCTCTTCCGTGTTTCTCTCAGTGCTCCTTCTCCAGCTGTGTCTCTGAAATAAATCAACACAACTACAGCTGACACAAAACCGGACAACCCAATACAACCGACAGACACAACAAAACAAATCTACAGCTACTTCGTAGGTTCGTAACAGAGGAGAGAAGTACATTTACTCAAGAGCCACGTTCACACCGGAGTACTTTTCACCGTACTTTTCGCTTTTAGTTCCGTTAGTACCCCTTATGTCGCGTTCACACCAACAATCGTACTTAATCTCGGGAACTTTTACCCCCATTTTTAGAGCCCGCTGAGAGATCGTACTTTCCTGTGGGTGAAAAGTGCCCCAGTGCTGATTGGCGGGGCGAATTGCAAACCACGCCCCGTACAACTGTGAAAATGTTTTGTAGAGTCGCCATTGTTTTTCCTCGCTACAAAAACCCAGCGCACCGTTGTTCGAAGAAGTTGCTTGAGATGGGAATCTTGCACAGCGCCATGGCATGCCGGCTAAAAATAAAGAAACTCCGGCAGGACTACAAAAAAAGACTGTAATAATAGTGCTCCTTCTCCAGCTGTGTCTCTGAAATAAATCAACACAACTACAGCTGACAGAAAACCGGACAACCCAATACAACCGACAGACACAACAAAACAAATCTACAGCTACTTCGTAGGTTCGTAACAGAGGAGAGAAGTACATTTACTCAAGAACTGTACTTAAGTACCATTTAGAGGTACTTTTACTTTACTTGAGTATTTCCATTTAATGCTACTCTGGGCGTTTCTCAATCTCGAGTACGCTTGCTTGGTAGCACATGACTTCCGAGCGTCTTGCTTCAGAAGCGAGGCAAGAATACTTCCTGGCATTCGGAAAACAAAGAGTGGAACAGGCGAGCACGTGTGCAGGTGTGCATCACATGAGAAGCCCCGCCTTACATTTTCCGCCACAGATTTGGGGAAATTGGTCCGTGCGCAAAGCATTGTGGGGATGTTAAGACAGTTTGTGTTTATTATATTTGTATTATATTTGATACAGTAATACAGCAACATTCTAACCACAGTATAAACCAGAGGTGGGGGATTCGAGTCACATGACTTGACTTGAGTCACATGACTTGGTATTCACGACTTGAGACTTGACTTAGGCTTGAGACAGATGACTCTAAAGGACTTTACTTTTTAAAATAAAATATTTGCATTTGCATTGTACGAAGCCCCTAAAGGGCAATGAAAGAAAGGAGTGAGAGACTGTGGGTGTTTCTCAATCGCGAGTAAAGCTGCTTCAGAGCCACTATTTCAAGCATACTACGTCATTGAGTGCCGCCGAAGTACTGTTCCAATCTCCAGCATACTTGGAAATCTACCGAGCCCGGCGTACTCCGTTTGGAGAAATATCGAGGCTGCACATGAGTAGACTCCGCGGTCTTAAAATCCCCACAATGCTTTGCGCACGGACCAATTTCCCCAAATCTGTGGCGGAAGATGTAACGCGGGGCCTCTCATATGACGCACACCTGCACACTTGCTAGCCTGTTCCACTCTTTGTTTTCCGAATGCCAGGAAGTATTCTTGACTCGCTTTTGAAGCAAGATGCTCGGCAGACATGTGCTACCAAGCAAGCGTACTCGAGATTGAGAAACACCCAGTAACTTGTTCGCAGGAGAAAGTTACCGGTGCGCCAAGTAGGAAGTGGAGCGCACAGGAGAAGGACGTTTCATTGCAGACTGTTATGTTTATGTGGGGAAATGGCAGTGCATACATTACTTTAGATATATTTCGAACTCGGACTTCTTTTTAGGGACATTCGGCTCTCGCTCTCATTCCTCTGGGCACACTCTCCGTGCCAGCCTCGGGGGACCTGTTGCTGGCTTCGCTCATTTATTTGTTTAAATTATTGTTATATTGTCGCACCTCGTCTCGGCTCTCCGGTTTTTGTTATAGCCTCAGAGCCGGGCCGTACCTCCTTCACTTCATGAAATCTCTGCAGCACCAGGAGGCAGTAACGTGTAACTCAGCAGAATCTGAGAAGAGCAGCACCAGCTGCAAAGATCTGTGCCTTTTACGGTTTACTTCACTGTGTTTACCTTCATTAGAACAGCTAAAGAGCAACCGCAGGCTGCTACGTTTTAACCACACGCACCTCTACACATACACACATTGAACACAATTATTCCCCCTATTCCCTATTATTAGTCCGGCAGTGGCTCAGTCAGTAGGGGCTTGGACTGGGAGCCGTAGGGTCGCTGGTTCAAGTCCCCGACCAGACCTAAATATGGAGTGTGGACTTCTACTTGGAGAGGTCCCAGTTCACCTCCTGCCCTGCCGTGGTGCCCTTGAGCAAGGCACCGGACACCCCCCTTCCCCCCCACTCCCATTGCTCCCCGGGCGCTGTACAATAGCTGCCCACTGCTCCTAGTACTAGACTCCTTGTACTAGGATGGGTTAAAAGCAGAGGCCAAATTTCACTGTGTGTGCTGTGTGCTCTGCATGTGTGACCATTAAAGAGGGTTTCATCCCTCCCTATTCTTCTATTCTTCTATTATTAGTTTTATGAAGGAGATGTCCGGTCACCATGATGTGTGTGTGTTAGTGCCCTGGGGCCTCATTTATAAACTACCATTTTCTAAGCAATCTTTGCGATTTATGAAAAACTTGACGGGAGGACACTCTGACCCATGGGTACGCACAACAACGGGAGACGAGAAACTACGACACCATTGGCAGAAGGAAGAATGGAGAGAAATATGTGAAAATACCATAAATAAAATATTACCATGTATCATATAGGAAGAATTCATTTGCAAAAATGGATTAAAGCCAATCTTATAACTATTAAACAAACGCCTGTTTGAGACTCCTCAGTGCACACAAAAACATAACTTGGAGAAATAAATACGGATATGTTATTGAAAACCACCTCGAACATGTTGTCTTAATGTTATGACATGTATTCTCATAAATGATGCGGTAAACAGAAGGACAGAAACTGCATCCACCAAACAATATGATTTGTCTCCACCTCCCCAAAAGAACCAAAATCTGACTCGGTGTGAAAAGTCTATTTTAGATGTTCTATCTGCACAGTGTAAGAAAAAGTTTTTAGAGAGTACTTGTCCATGGACAAATGAATTTGGCAATTTACTTGTCCGAATACATTTTTCACTTGTCCAGAAAAATCGATCGGCATCGTATTGCACGTGCACTCCGCTCTGCATCGGCCAAGCGGCTCGCTGCACCCTCACTGCGAGGGGGACCCAAGTTCCCATCAGCAAAAACGCGTGGGTTTGCTATCCTGGCTCCAAAATGGTGGAATGAGCTCCCCATTGAAATCAGGACAGCAGAAAGCTCACACATCTTCCGGCGCAGACTGAAAACTCATCTCTTTCGACTCCACTTCGAGCGATAGAATTACTAACAAAGGACTGGCTTATCTAAAGCCAGTTGAGTAGCACTTGAAATGTTTTGGCTCTATGAAACCTGATGTACTTATATGATTCTGTTTTCTTCAAGTTTGTATCTTGTTGGTCGAATGCACTTATTGTAAGTCGCTTTGGATAAAAGCGTCAGCTAAATGCAATGTAATGTAATGTATTTTACATTTTCCCACGGTTTTTACGGTAAGATTTTACTGCATCACACATAGGGATGGGTATCGTTTGGATTTGAACGATTCCGGTTATGCTTTTCGATTCCGGTTCTTTTCGGTTCTCGATTCTGGTTCGTTGAGAGGGTAAAAAATAAGTCCCATGACAAACTGGGAGAAAAATATATTTATGAAAACATTAAGTCAAATCTGTATTCCTATTTAAAAATAACTTCATATTGTTTAATTTTGTTACGGTTATTGAATACAATTATATAAAAATAATTGTTTAGTTAGTTCTAAGTGGTGCAGTTTGAGAATGTAAAATTGGCCCAGTCTCCTCTGATGTTACACTGCAACCTGCCTGTGAGACAGAGTCCGACCACACAGTCTGTGTGTCCAACACATGTCCTGCAATAAACATGCTGCAGCTGCTCACTGTTTGTAAAAGTAAATAAATAGTATTTTCATTTCAATAATGTACTTTCTATACCCTGCTTCATAAACAATACTGACATTCCTGTGCTCCTCCGAGTCTGGGGGTCCTTGGATGTGAGGACAGCGCGAGGACACAGACAGGGAGGCTGCTTTAATATTCATAAAGGAAATGGCGGTCAATATTAACAACATAGGAGCATACAGTACATACATACATACAGTATGGTGGCTTGAACTAGTGGGAGAAATGGCACTGTTTGTCTGTAGCCAATGCCTTGAACCTCGGCAAAAAAGGCATTAGAAACATTAGAAAGTCAAGGTAAACTTGCGGTTAACTTGCGGTCTGCAATGCGTGTCACGCTCGCACACACAAGTAAATATATATGCACGTTCATTCTCACAATCAGACACGCGTCAGACACAAGACGCGCGTACACAATGATGTACATATATTTATCAGAATCATTTTTTTTTTTTTTTTTTTTTTTTTTTTAAATAATAATTTTATTTTTTTTTATAATGGGACACAGGGTTCGGTCCGGATTGATTTGCAGTTCGGTCCGGATCCGGACCTTGGTCCGGAGTTTGAGAAGCCCTGCTCTAGATCATATATATATTTCTTGAATTCTTGCCCATTAGCTATGAGGCTTCTTGCGTTCCACTGTAGTATGTGCAGCACCATGATTAAGGATCTAACCCTCATCCTGATTTTCATTTTCCCCAGCTCCATTTATAGTTAGCATTGCATGTATCTGATCTGCTTTAATATCTTTCATGTCAAGGAATTTTCCAGCTGCCTCCACAATGGCTTTGATTCTATCACTTTTCTTTTTTAACTGTAATGCAACATTTACAGTATGGCATATAAATACCACAAAATTCACCTTTTTCACTCCTAAAACATCATCATCCTCTGTACTCTTGGTGGCGCTGTGGGGTTGGATTTGAAGATTACTTTTTGGTGTGTTCCTGACATTTTGTATTGTAATGCTCTGCTCCATTCCACTAGGGGTCTTATTGATTGTTACTGT